GACTGCCTTCTCTTACCAAAACTTTCTCCCACGACTTTTTCCCCAGGCAATTTCCATTACTTCTTTATTGGCAGGGCTGGCAATCCCACAGCTGTACACCATGACTCACCTCTAGGCCTATTGCAATCTGGGTCAGTGCTGCTTATTAACCACATCATTGTCACCAGTAAATATGGAATGGTAGATGATGTGTCACAATTTAGTCGGTCTTAGATTTGAGGAAATACAGTGGTACATACCTGGTTTGTCATGTGTATGTGCTTGTCTGAACTCCTCTATTAGATTCTAAGCTGCTTGAGGGCAAGGCTCACATATTCCTTTTTAAAATAAATATTAATTTGTCCCTTGAACCTCAGTAATAGATTTTCTTGACACTTATTATGTTTTTTCATAGTTTTAACATGACACCAAGTGCCTAAATTTATGAAAACATATTTAATTCAGTAGAAATTTGATAAGTAACTACAAAACAAATCCATTATCTAATCATGAGTCTCTAAAAACTTACTAGATTATTCCTAACAACACTAACTTATTTTATCTTACTTCTGATATATCTTTATCATATATTCCTCACAAAAAGAAAAAATCTATACTGATTTTAATAAATGAATATCTTGGATAATGTATATATACAAGATTTTACTTGAATATGTAATTGCTAATTACTTTTGAAATACAATCTTTTAAAACATGTTTCCTTGGTTGTATGTATACAAATAAGGCAGAATCTCAACCTGATTTAAATTTTTCCATTTCTGATTACACTTTGCCTCTTACTTCTTATAATAATTCTGTATGTAACTAAGGATTTCTACCATGCTTTGGATAGGAATATATAGATTAACCAACAGCAAACAAAATCGATGAAACTGCTTTTATATTGGATTCTGTCTATCATTTATAGCAAGTGGTACATAAATGCTAATTGTTTATAATTGTACTTGTCTTATTTGCCATGGTAGATCTTTACTTTAAAAATTAAATTTTATACTAATAACATTTCCCAAATTAGTTTAAATGATTTGCTGAAGATTAACATCCCCTTTTTTTAAAACTGATAATTTTTTTTGAATTCTTAAATGTAAAATATGAGTAAGCTATTTTTGGGTCTACCATGATTCACAGGCAACAGTTACATGAATAGCTTAATTCTATTCTGTATAAAATATTGGTTGAAATTTTTACAAAATCTGAAGTTTTTTTTTTTTTTGCATAGAGTATACTTTGAAAGAATGTTTTCAACAAAATATTTGTGGTTGGAGAAAGAACTATAACTTGGCTGTTTCTGCCTTAGTTCCCCTCCAATCTGCTCCAGAGGAAAGGCTTCCTGCTCTGTATTTACCGTCAACCATTCATGCACATAGCTGATGGCTATAAATATTAAGCAATGTAAATTTTGCTGACCTAGACTTACTCTCAAGTAACCTATTTCAAAAAAACCTAGAGTTATGTAGAACATATTTGAAAAACATCTTATAGTCTATAACCTAGAGTTTAACTGAATTTATAAAAAGTACACAACAATTTGAAATAAATTGCTTTGTCTACATGAAACTAAAAAACTTGTTGGAATGTTATACTTTTCAAATTTTTCTTAGTAACATTCAGATACAGAGATAGCATGTATTTGGCAAAAATAATTTTTAAAAATCCCTAATATTTACTGAGTTCCAAAATGAGTTATATGACTGGGAAAAAGAATTTCCACTTTTTCCCTTACACAAGGAATCCAAGATCTCAAAAGGAAAGTAGGCCATTGCTCACCTGAAGAAAGTAATATGTTTAGGTGATATAAAAGCAAAGAACATACATAACACTTTAAAACATATACCTTTTAAAGATAATCACTACAATTCACACACATATTACATATGTAATTTAATTTTTTATAGTTGTCTTTTGTCTGATTATGTATCAACATTTTTATGACTAAATTTCTCATCAGCTTAATTTTTAAATATTTTAGTTTAATTTCATCTAAATTTCATTTGACTTACTTCTTTGTTACCATCTTTATACTTCATAATTTTGTCTGCTGCATGTGTCTTCATTTACTTTACCAAAAAAAAAATTTTTTTTCACATAGTACTTGATGATTGTAAGTACATATCTTCCAAACATATGATGAATAAAATATTGGGTTATTTTTATATGACTGCATGTAAATAAATGCCACATTTAGATATTCTAAATATCTAGAAAGAGTTGTGTGTCATGCACCATGATGACAATAAATGTGTGATGAATAAATGGATTTGTCAAATTCTCTTCAAATGTATGCTCATCATGCGCAGAACAGCCTTTAGTTATGCCATAACCCTGTTAGAGTTTTTGTTATTTCACTGATAGGATTGTTGAAGTGCCTATTTATTCTTCTGCAGCCATCATTTTATATGTATAAAATGTGTGTAAAATGTGGATTGTGAAGAAAGTAAAAAAGAAAAAAAGAAAGACTTTTTCTACATAATATCATAACTTTTGTCGAACCATGTAGGGTCATTCCAACAAGTGGCTAAATAAAAAAATACACAGTGTTTTATTTATTGACTAATTATCAATAAAAATGGTCAATCCAATAGCCTGTAGAGAAGAAAACTGGTCAGAAAGTGATTAGTTTGTTGGAATTTCACTAGGAAAGGCAGTTTGTCCTCCTTCAGATCCAGTAATTACTTTAGTCTTGTTCAAATCTAGATTTCAACTTCTAAAATCATATTGTTGTCTACATACAGAAGCAGAAGGAAAATCTTTTTTCATGGAAACACATTTTCCTCTGAGTCATCAGGGAAAATACTAAATTTAAAAGGGGAGATGTTTGAGGAAGCTTAGTGCTTTGCAGTCTCCAAAGGCATGAATTAATAATGCTCTTACTTGATCAAACAGATTTTATTTCCAGGACTCAAACCACACCTACATTCAAATGTAAACCACGGCAGGGGTTGGGCGGGGGAAGAACCCTAAGTCATGAGTCTTCCAGGCAGAAATACGACTCTTTACATCCTCGTATCTCTCTTCCCTTTCTTCAAAACAGACTTGGAATAGACAATTTTTCAAAATCCTTATGGTTCCATGTGATTAAACAAACAAATACCATAAGCCAGTTTTTAAAGTGTATATTTGTCTTAATACACTTATTCAAAATGAAAAACTAGCAAACAATTTAGAGTAAAAAATTGGGATGATGCAAAAAGCAAAGTCAAGGAAAAGGCTGAATGGGTGCACCAGGAGGGTCTGAACTCCAAGTAAGTAAACTCACAAAAGTAGCATGTGCATTTTCAATAAACCTGAAGAGTATTTCATACAGACTAGTAAGATTATAAGTGTCATATCATATTTAGTGCTAAGCTTTCTAGTATATAATATAAAATAAATAGACTGTCAATTATTGCATTCATAATAGAGAGATGAAATATGAACTTTTGTAAGGAGGATTATAAAATTCTACATTATACTAGTATCAGGGAACTATCTGAAAGTTCTCAAAAAGATAACATTCTTTGAATTAATGAACACTGATCTCACAAAAGTGACAAATAATTTTCTATTACAAAGTCTAGCAGAATAATAATGTCTCCAAACCTTAATAATTTCACCAAGTGAAAGACACTGACCAATTACTTTAAAAATGCATTTTAAAAAATAAAGAAACATACAATGAAAAACTTTTCAACTATGTAGTTAAAGGATGACCATATTTTATTGACACATTTATTTGATAATGGTTTCGGAAAAGTGGACACCAGACAAATCAAGCACTCAAGAAACAACAATAAAAGAATAAACTAAAAAGAAGGAAATAAAAGCATGCTACAACATCTATACACAAGATAAAATTTCCATTTACAAGAAATAAAATTGAGGCAAACATGCAAAAGACGCACCAAGAAAAGTAGAATACGTCCTTGAAGAAGGAAAATTAAACATGCAGAAAAATAAGAGTTTGAGTTTTGAGAGTAACAAGGTAGTTTGAGGCCCAATTTACCTTCACTGTCTGACATGGCATGTTGGAAGTCATCCATGATGAACGCTATGTCACGGTCATAGCCTCGAGTCCGTGATTCCTCTCTCATGTGTTGCTGAACTTCAGGCAATGAGTGACTTGATCCAAACTGATCCCTGGTGTCTGCAGATATTGGTGGAAGGGGTCCAGCTGCAGCCCTGGCCATCCCCATTGGCTGGCCAACAGGACTGAGTGGACTCTCTTCTTCAGAATTCTGGGCCACAATTGGTATTCTTCCCCTACTCTGGCTAATTGGCAAGCTGGTAGGCTTAGTTCTGCCAGAAGGTGATGCATGACTGAAGGAAACATCTAGAGCTTCAGCCTCTTGAGCTTTCAGTCTTAGGGAAGAGCTGGAAGAATCTCTTTTAATTGATAAATCGAGCCCATAGACAGAAGAAGGTCTGGAAGACGGTCTGGACCTGCTGCCACTACCGTACGGCTTATCTGCTTCATCCTGCAGAGCCGACCGTAGGGTATTTCCTAATGTGCCCAGTCCTGAACCAAGAGAAGACCCCATAAATTTCTGCTGGTCTGTAATATTTTTCCTAAGGCCAAAAGTGATATCATCTTGAAGAAGCCTTGCTCTGGAGGAAATGCCACCAATAGATGAAGTGCTAGAAGTCATGTAGGTCGAATAATCAGGTTCAAGGTCTCTACTTTCTTGAATAGGGGAAAATTTTGACATTTTAGGGTCCATTAGTGATTTCTTATGCTTTGACTGCTTTTGGTACAGGATGGCTGCTGGCAGCTGCTTTGCTGCCTGTTTCTCCAGTGTGAGCCTACTGATGCTGTACTTTTCAGATTTTGGGAAATGTCTGTAGCTGGTATCGGCATGGTAATAATGAGAAAGACCAGCCAGGTGATCTAAGCTCTCTGCTCCTCTACGGAATTCTTGTTTAATCTGATGTTTCAGGAGCTTTAACTCATAAGGATCTTCCATTGGATCGTCCTCTGCTTTTACATAACTATGTAATCTGGAGGAAGTCTGCAAAGGTGCTAGAAAATCTGTCACCTCTTGAGACCTACGTGTTTCAGTGGTTCTAAGGAGACGGTCTGTTTTTGATAGATCTTTCTCATGAAGGCTAAATGCAGTGCTTAATGCTGCTGTTCCTTTGGTAATCTCCCCAATGTCATCGATTAGGACATAGTTTCGTGGAGTGTGATGGTCAATATCTGCATAGAAAGAATCTGCTGATATGCTGGATATGGGGCTGCTCGCCATGCTACTTCTTTCCTCCAATCCTATTCTCAAGTCTAAGCTATTGTACTTACTACCAAGATGGGAAACAGCGTATGTATTATCAGTAGAAACAGGCGCTATCATCAGCGGTTGGTTGCGAATCACCTCATAGTTTGAAGTTATCTTGGGCTCCAAATACAGTGTGGTTTGACGTGGCTTTTGTTGTATCACCATCATCTGTGATGGTAGCTGATAAGATGGTTGTGGGGCTGGTGTAGGTTGAGCTTGAGGAGTGAAGGACATTGTTGCCACAGCTTGGAATGACGGCTGAGTCTGATAAGGTGAAACTTGCTGATGGTATAATGTTTGTTGCTGAAAATGGGATTGTTGGGTGTACGGGGTGGGTGCCTGTGTAGGAAGAGCAGGGGAAGAGTATTGGTATTGTGTATAAGGACTCGTTGGAGGAACGAGTTGAGATTCTGTTTGGGTCTGTGGTGGTATAAACTGGCTGAATTCTGTTTGGGGGGCCGTTCTTGGGCGCTCCACGCCATGCTGACTTTCCATTCGGGCTGGTCTGGTGCTGCTCACCTCACTGTCAGACATGTAATCCCGATCTTCGGCTACACCCTGGAGGTAGGCTCGCTCCCTCTTCTCTCGCTCCTTTAATAATGCCTCTTTCCTCCTGTTAATTCCCATTTCCAGGTACCTTAACTTGGCATCGATCTCCTTTTCTTCCTCATCAAGTTCGGCTTGTTTCTTTCTAAGTTTTGCAGATTCCCTCTCCACAAGATCAAGCTCTCTGTCTATATCCTGGAGAATCTTGGCCCGTGCCATAGTGTTGGTTCTGCAGATCCTTCTCCTGGAAACCGTGCCCACAGTGCTGTATGCAGCCTGGGCTCCGGCACTGGTCTCCTCAGGAGGTGGGTTTGGCAGGGTTCTCTTAACTTTTTTCTGGGAGCCAGAGGGTGTCATGGTTTGGGAACCTTTTGTCTATAAGTAAACAAAATACAGTACTTTATTATCAAGGGAAAAAAATATAAAATGCTTTGTGATTTACATTTAAATAAAATGATTTCATGTTTCAGCTTTGATAGCATAATAAAATAAAAATTCTACATACCATTTCAAGTATTAGTCACAAATATAATTAACTGAAAAACAATTTTTTTCCTTTCTTGGCAAATTGCTTATTTATTATTATAACTTTCATAACATTAAAAGTGAGTTTTGAAATCAAACACAAAACTCATTGAGAGGCAGGGCTTCTATTTCAGTTAGTCTCTCAGGAGAACTCCAAAAACTCATTTTCCATCTATTTAATACACATAAGATAATTTACTGAATGTATTCCCAGGGCATTTGTATTATCTAAAATATAAGTTACGTTTGTCAAAGATGCTCATTTACTGTTAAGTTCAATCATTTGCTTCTATCTTCCCAATCCTACTTGTACCCCCTGAAGTGGTGATCATTCCTATTCCAATTATGAAATATGTTTAAGTGAGATCCTCTAATTCTCTAATGTCTTTTTTTTCCTCCAAAAGAAAAATATGAACTACTTTCCCATTTAATCTTTATTTTGGGTCATATTTTGTGTGACTATTTGGCTCATATTTTCTTTCAACTTCATTATTCTTTAGTAATTTTAGTTACTTCTTAATGCATTAGCAACTTCTACATGAAGTAAAAGGAACTGGTGCAATAAAAACCCACCTATATATATATATATGTATATATTGTTTAAAGCAGATAAAGTATCATTAGTGAGTTGTTTCAACTTCACTTGGCTACTTTGTCATAAACTTGCATTCTAAGAACCACTGGTCTTGAGAATCACACAATTTCAGAATATCATGAGATATCAGGGCCCATGAGAGATCATTTTGACTACTTATACTTAAAATAAAATGACAAACTCAAAGTTACCCAAGCATTTAGTAGCATATTTATCACTAGATCTTTGGTCTTCCACCTTCCAGTTGCATATGCTTTGCAAACTGCTTTTTTTTTCTTTTCTTTATAGTAATCCAAATAATGGAAAGTACATGAGAATTATGTCTAATTAATTAGATTATACTAGTCCAAGACCCTTTGTTTTCACTGTCTACCTATTATTTTCAAATTAATTTCCTTGGTGTTTTTTTTTTAATCTGCTTTCTGTCTTAATTTTCTGCTACCTTTATTTACCCTCACTAATTGTTTCTTTAATAGAAAGCATAGTCAAAAGCAATATCCTAAAGATCAATTGAGGTTTATATATATTTCTGAAATTTAAAATATTTGGATGCAAACCCACAATGAATAAATGTTGTGAGTATGAAATATGGGAGAGTGATTTTGAAATTGTAGCTTGTTCTTCCTCAAAGAGAAATCTCAAGGATTATAGGGAATCAGAGCTCCCAAAAGTTGCTGTTTGGCACATTATTTATTCTCTTTCACTGTCACTTCTTTTCATTTTATTTAATACTCACAATTAAATTATAGAATTGTTATGAAGATCATATGAGGCAACTGTGTAAAATATTTGGTACAGATTGTAGGTACCCAGTACATATTATTTCCTTGCAAAATCTACTATTTCTACAGAAAACTATGGATTTTTGATAAATTTAAATTACAAGTCTTCTTAAAAATGAACACATCATACTTTTTAATATCAACTGACCTTAATGAAACAGTAATAAAATAAAAATGGAAATGTTATAATAATTTTCTTAATTTCCCCAAATACTGAGACATATTTTAAATATTTTTCCACAATAACCTTTTCAGTTTCTGAATATAAATGGTGCTCAATAGGATACTGAAATTAGCTACCATTTTTTCTCCTTGACTTGAACATATGGTAGATTTGGTAGTCATGTGAGAATTTTGAAATTAAAAATGTTCACCTATACTACATGATTACGGTTGAGAAATGATTTGACAAATGGATCTTTGTGTACCCTTAAGGTGGTATAGCACTGCATAATATGAACACATTTCAAAGTAAGAGTTCTTCCAACCAAAAGAGGTTAAAAATACCCCCCAATGAATGCAACACTAAATGCGATTCTAGCAGAGAAAAAGCACACAACAGTGAAGGTAACTATGGAATGGAGTAAATAGAGAAAAGAAATTTCTGGGATGACACATACATTTTAAAAATTAATTTAAAAAATATTAAAGGCATGCATTAAATGGATGCACATATTTGTTGAATGAAAAGATGAAGAAATGAAAGGGTAAAGTAAGAACTTTTTGTGATTATTTTTAAAGGTTCTAAATTAAGAAGTGAAATATCCCAGAATTCAGTGAGTGGAATGACAGTATACATGATATCATATGAAAAATTATGAAGACCCACAAGAAGACTACTTATTTCATCAAGAGTAATGGTTAGTAAAGTGAATGGAAATTGATATTAGTTTATATTATTTATTGCTCATACCTGTATGCAATTTTCCCCTAATTTCTGTTTAATAGCTTACAGTTCTCAGTTGAGATAATAGGCTTAAACTAAAAAATTTTTAAATATAAAGTCACAGGTTAAAAAAGCAGTCCATGTGTTAGCAATTTTTAATTGTCCTCCAGGGTTGCAAATATTTAATGATTCAATGGACATATTAATTCATATTTTGTGTGCCATGAGTATGAGTCATGGAAGCAAGTGAGAAAGCTAATTGGTAGAAGCTAGATATTTATTTAGCCTAGCTGACCACTCAGTCTTCCCAGAAGTGGAAATAGTTTTGCTGTTCTCTATTTGGTGATAAAATAGCTTTTACTCTGACTAGAGAAGGAGTCACAAAGTTGGAGACTTGTTAAGGTCTCAGCCATCTATATTCCTCTCAAATTAGAGGAAGTGTAACATGATCATTGAAGCTTAGTCTCTCAGGGAGACTACACAGAGTTTTAGTCCTGGCTCTGCCTTTTATGAGATCATTAGCAAGTTGTTTAAACTCCCTGGGCCTTGGTTCTCTTATATGTAAAAGGAGGATAATATTTATTCTTCCATTACTGGTTTGTCTAAGGAGTGAGCTGAAACAGGAATCTAGATTAGGTTATTATCCCAGGGGAAAGACAGAAATACAATAGAAAATTTGAAGTGATATCTTGCCAACTTATAATTTAAAAAGAACTGAATTTCAAGACCATATATGACTTCCAAACTGGGTATTTTATTCTAATCCAATCAGAATAATGTAAAATGAGAGTGCCAAAACAGATAATCAAAACAAAATAATGTAATTGCTTAGAAAAGACTGAGAGATGTATAAAAGAAATTTTATGATGATTAAAGGTGATATAGTTGGAGGCCACAATTATAGATGATGACAATCTAGAAAAATCTTGCTCAGTAAGATTTTCCTTAACAACTAGCTTGGTAAGTGTTATTTTTAGACAGATTTGGTATCCTTAATAAACAAATTAAAATTGTTTGCAGTAGCTGTGCAAATAGCAGGCAAGGAAAAGAAACAGAAAGTTAGAACAATAGAATGGAGGCTGAAGGGAGACTGGAAGAATAGCTAATTTCAGCTGCAATGCCTAGGAGGTAATTTTGATAATCAGCAAATACACTCCAGTATAAGTTTTTCTGTCCAAAGTTATTTTAAACTACATTATTCTCAGGGGATCCATTTATACTATGTATCCTATATGGCAAAGGAATTTTTCATTGTTCTGAGGAGTCAGGGCTCTTAATAAAAATAACAATAGTTAAGGTATTTGGATACATGATCCTAAGGACTTTAAACATACATATGTGCATTATCTTGTCAAAATAATCTAAGCTCAGTCTAAGGATGAAAAAAGGAGGGTATCTGTTTTTCTTTCAAAAGTTGAACAAGCTAAAACTAGCTTTCAACACCAAAATTATTCACTGACTGCCAAATATAATAAACACAGCAAAATTCAATTTACTAATTAATTCTAGTAGTTGCTAAGTATAATCATAAAATGCACCATTCTAGATACTAAAGGCACAGAGCTAAAAGGCATGAGATATACCAAACTAAGTTAAACCTTGTTCTCAAGGAAGTAATAAATTAGGAATATTTTTTAGCATATTGTATAAAGAACCTACTTCAGGCTTTGCTACCTAGCTCTTGTCAATATCAGAGTAAGCTTCTCAACTGTTGTACTGATAGAGACTTAAGAATGTATTTTTCATTTTATAAATATAGATGGTCATGTCTGCTGTTGGAAATCAATGTTCATCATGATAATTTCTTGGATCATTAAGCTTATTCTTTCAGTTAAGCAGAAAGGATTTTCTTAAAGGCCCCTATACTCATCTAAGCAGTATAATTCCATGTAGTGTAATTCTAAACACTATAATTCCACATAGATTTATTGATAAGATACTTTGATTCAGACAAGTATCATACAATTTTCTAGAGAAAACAGAACCTCTTAAAAGATCATCTGTATAACAAGTCAAAAGGTGAATCAGAGGGGTATATAAACAGGGTGTATTGGAACTCAGAATAAGAAGAATCTTCTTTCGGCTTGGGGAAGGAATGATGGGTTAAGACATAAGAGAAAGGTTTTTTTGAAGAATGGATGAAACTTGAACAGGAGAGTATCACTTCAGCCTAGCGATGCATTGATACCTGTAAGAGGGAAAGATATCCAGAGTGTTCTACACAAACAGAAAGGAAACGAGGAGGAACAAATAAAACATATAGGGAAAAAAAATACCTTGAAAGCTCTATCTTTATTAAATCTCTATTTATCCTATTTTTTTCTTTTCTTTTTTACAGATTGAAAAGGCAACCTAGTTATTACATACTGGTCAAATTAACTCCAATACCACATGAAATATCAGGGCAAACCATCTATTGTAAATGTGCCATCACTAGCAATGACCTGCAATGCAGTGTGCTGGGTAGCAATCAGTGAGGCTTTGTCTAAGAGAAAATTGTGGTCGCCCAATTTAATTTCCTTCCGTGATAATGAGGAGGTCTATACTGATAGCACAGAAACAAAGACACAATCTTACAGAGCTTCAG